CGTGGGAACCAGGCAGCATTATTTTGGCTGACGCTCAAGCATCGCCAACTCCGCCGCTGCCCGAAAGGGTGGTTCGATGAGAGGAAGGAGCGAGAGAGAGGGAAGAGAGGCACCGATATCGTCAGCACACGCACCAGCAGCGGCGGTGAGAGCAGGAGAGGGGGACACCTGGCTAATGCGCTCGCCTGTCGGTCCCCTGGGGGGCGCAGCCGGGACCATCGCCTCCGAGGCAGCCTCGCGCGGTTGCGCTAGGTGGCGGACCAGCGGGTCCATTCCCAAAGACCACAAGGTGCCAGACAGAGGGCACCCCTGTGGGACACCACGGGAAAACTCAAAAACACGGACCCGCTGTGAACCCACGTCTGAATGCCCGACCGATCCTTTGGACAGAGCTTCCAGCGCATTAAGGTAGCCTTGGGGGAGTCCGAACCTACGAAGCACCGCACGGAACCACTGTTGAGACATACTCGGGAAAGCAGCTCGGACATCAAAGGCAACGAGACACGGCCGCCGGACACTGGCATCGTCACCCAAACTGGTCAGCCTAGTTTCAGCGTCGAGATTGATAATGTGATTCCCAAAAATGCGACCTCCAATGAAGCTTTGCTGGGCCCTGTGGGCACCTTCTTTGGCTACTGTACTCAGGTGTATGTTGACGGTTTGGGCGAGAGCTTTACTGTCGGTATTCTTTAACGTTAGTGGCGTGAGCGAGGCCGCATCACGGGTGCAGTCAGTGAGCTCTCGTGGATCTTCACCTAACGGCATGAAAGCAACATTCGACTAATTCAAACCTTCGACAGGGCCCCCGCCTGGAAATCACCGCAACAACATATCATAGAGGATCTCAGCTGCAACTGGTACGGCTTTCCACGCGGCGCACGGCAAACGATCGGGGCCAGGGGAGGAGGCCCGTCCTCGGCGCAAAGCTCCGGTAAGGCCCCCTGGAGTAGGGAGAGGGAGGTCAAGTGGTGAGAAGGAGGGGAGGTGCTGGTCCAGATGTTCAGAAATTGCCTGGTCGCTGCCGGAGGCAGCTGCGAAGACGGGCTTCCAGTGCTCGCCGAACGCATTGGCCATGTCGGTTGGGCTTCTGATGATCGCGCCGTCTGCCGGCTGATCGTGCTTGAGGCCATTCAAGACGAGCCGGCGCTGCGTCAGGTTCCAAGCCAGCGCCTGCCGCGTACTTGTGACATGTACCTTGACCATCTCAGGAACGCCAGCTGGAAAGTCATCACCTTTTGGTTGCTCTCGGCGACGGCGTCCAGCGCGAGCTGCGCGCTGTCCGATCGCGTCGAAGCGGCGCCGGTTGCAGTCCATCGCATGGTTCCTAAAGGCCTCCGCATCAGCGATGTAGACAACGCCGCTGTCCGCGAAGGCCAAATTAGCGACGAGCGAGAGCAGTGGAGCCATGAAGACGATGGGCAAGCCGCGCGTCTCGGCGCCAGACAGCTCGAACCTCCATGCGAAGCACCAAACACTCCGTCTCGAGCTGGTCCACATCGGTCTGGGTAAGAGAAGGGGGACAATCTGGATTTGGGAAACGCGGTTCGCTTCCCCTTCCGCGCGCGCCACGAGCAGGTTGAGCGCCGTCAGGTGGGTGACCCCGTTGAAGTTGATCTCTGGTGGGACCGGCCGCCATGTGCATCAGAACCTTGATCTTCTGCCGCAGCCGCTGCGCATCAAGGTCATCCCAGCCAGCGCAGTCAACGCACGTCTGAATAATCTCCTCGAACCTCACACTGCGAAACAAGTCGGCTGGGATGCTCTGCAGCGCAGGGGGCGCCGAGGCTGAAGATGCAGAACGACGATGGCGTGGTCCGAGAGCGCAACGGCACTCAACTTGTCGGCCTCCTGCAGGATGTTGATCGAGATGATGCAATTCGTCACGTAGCGCGTGCTCAGCCAGCGAGATGACGATGCGATCGATGGTGTCAAGCGCGTGCGAGAAACTGTCGAAGTGGGTCGGCAGGGAGCCCTCGATCCCCAGCGCGCCGCCATCGAAGAGAGATCTCCAGAACGGCTCTGACTGAGTGGCCCTGTCATCTCGTGAACGCCGCGCTCGCCGTTGATGAGAGGGAAGGAGCGATTGATTTGTGTCGTTGCTCACGTTGAAGTCGCCAGCATGGATCGCCAGCCTGGTCAGCTCGTTCTGTCGTGCCCAATCGAGATTCCGCATCCAAGCCTGACGGGTCACCGCCCGAGCAGTCAAGTCGACGCCGTTGTTGTGGTGGTTGATGGCCCTGATCGCGTGGCCGTCGCCGCTGGCGATCTCGAGCGTGCGAATCCGTCCAGGGGCGAGAACAGTGCGCAAGAACTGTGGCTGAAGGTGAGCAGGGAGCTGTCGTGCATGAGAAGGAACACGCCACGGCACGATGATAGCAACTCCACCAGTGCGGTGGTCAACTTCATCCGAGACAGGCTCGCCGTCAGCCAGCGCAGGAGCAGCTGGGCCCTGCGGGCGTGGCGCAGCATGCTCGAAGGGGAAGCCGCTGTAGAAGACACGTTTGTGCACGGGCAGCTGGTCCAGAAACGTGGTGAGCGTCATCTCGTTGCCGTGTACTTCTTGAGCCGGAACCAGGTGCCGCCGTTGGAGGAGGTGCTTGGTCTTGTTGAGCTTCTGACGTCGCAGCTCGTTTCTCCAGCAGCAGGGTCCACGAGCGTTCTACGATGCAACGCGTAGACCACGCCGATCTCCACCGTTGATCTCCCAGGGCTGGAACCGTTTGCTGAGATAATGTGCATGCTGAGGTGACCGCGCTCTGGGGCTGATGCCTGCACTGCGTGCTGGCGCCCTGGAAGTCAACGTTGTGCTCTGCCACCACCTGCGGAGACCATGCCAATCGAGTCGGCTCGTCAACTCCCTGAGGCGAGATCTCCACGATGGGCGTCGCGTTGAAGCTGATGATGCCCCTGGACCTGAGGAGCTTCCAGTCCTTGTCCTGGTAGGTGCGCTGCAAGATGCCGAGAAGAAGTTTCCTATGAACTTCGCGCCGAACCTGCTTCGGGCTCTTGTCAGGGTTGACGTGCAAGGCCTCCTGTGCTCCCGTGGCGCTCTTAGCCGTGAAGCGTCGCCAGCTGCCACCTGGAAGTTGAATGTGTTGCGCGAGACGGGCGGCTCGGGCGACGCCGAGAGGGCCACCTGGGAGATGAAAATGAAAGGGCTTGCCGGGATAATCACAATGAAGAGCACATTGATTGGACTCCAGGCCCGCGTCCTTGACCAAATCGGCAATTGCCACCTCGATCTCGCTGGTGGCGGCGGGCTGAGAGCAGCCGACGCGGAAGACGCTCGGGTCGGCGGGGCGGTCGTATGTGGCAAGCCTGGCCAGGTCGATGGCCGTGTCTTGAACAGTTTGGGCCTGGGCAAGGCTCCGCTGCACGGCGTCCAGGTCGTCGCGGAGCACCTTCTGGTCCTGGGCCATGGTGTCAGTATTGTCCTGGAGCCGCCTGATGTCGTGGTCATGACCGTCCAACCGAGCCGCCTGGGGGCGCATGAGCTCCAGCACCGTGACCCGCATGTTGGACTGCGCCGTGCCCATGATAGTGTTGAGTTCGGTGCGCATCCCCCCGGGCTGCTGCTGGAAGGCCGCCGCGACCGCGGCCTCGATGCTTTCGACCGTGGTGAACGGAGCGGGCTGAGGACGCTGCTCACGCCAAGGATCACCATCACCTTGAAGAGGATCGGGGCGGCTGTGTTGGGCCTCAGCTCGTGATGGGGGTCGTTCATGGTCAGGGAACGTCGATGCGAGATCAGCGGCTGCAGCGAGTCGTGCCCATTCGTCATGCGGAATGCCAGCCAATGGATGAGCACCGCCACGGCCACGGTGGCTTCCAGTTGAGCCAGCACCGCCTTGATGGTGGTGGCGTGGAGGTTGGGCAGAAGCATCCCTCGGCGAGCTCCCAGTGGAACGCGAAGACGAGCGATGCCGTCGTCGATCACGGCGGCGTTCATCCCGTCGGTCGTGTCGGCGTCGGCGATGGTGCTGCGACCCTCCACGTTCGCTGCGAGAGGCGGAGGTCCCATCGCTTGGCATGAGCAGATGATAGACGAAGATATGAATGATAAATTCTGCCGAATAAGCGCGTGGAAACGTGAAGGGCCCAGAGGGCCAGGTGGTGAGCCACAAAGCACGGGCACTGAAGCTCCTGTGCTGCGAGACCTGTCCTCGCAAGAGGAGCGTTCTGAGCCGTCCCCTCGGTAGCGACCAAGCTCGAAGCGCCAGGAAGCGTTTCGAACTTGAGCCAACATGGCTACGGGGGGAGGAGGAGGAGGAGGAGGAGGAGGGAGGGGGAGGAGGAGGAGGAGGAGGAGGAGGAGGAGGAGGAGAGGAGCAGGAGGAGGAGGAGGAGGAGGAGGAGGAGGAGGAGGAGGAGGAGAGAGGAGGAGGAGAGAGGAGGAGGACGGGTCGCCTAAACCCTTCGGAGAAACCGTCCAGGGCTGCCTTCCCTAACGATACCCTGCTTGCTGGCCTCCTGGAAGTCACCACGGAAGGATTCGCCTTAGAAAGAGAGTTGCTCTGAACAGCGAGCTGAAATTGAACTACGCGGTGCTCTCTGCACAATGATTTCTCCGCGGCGTGTGCCAGGTTGTGTTTTTTTGTTTGGTTCGCTTTTTTGTAAAGAAGGCGGTCTTTACGCGCCTCGACCTGGCCAAAATCGGCCGCGGGAGGGGTCCGGGGACGGATATTACTGACTGGACTTGGGCACGCACACAAAGCGCGGCGCCCTCGACTGTATCGGGGCCACCATCGGGGGCGGCAAAGAGGGGGGCGTCAAAGAGGGGTGTGTGCAAATCGTGGCCGGCGGCACGTGCGCGACCAAGGGGGGGGGGCTGGGGACGTAGTGAAACAAGAAGACGCGCCATGAAACCTCTGGAAACATCATGGCTCCCGTCATGATGTCCCCCCCCCCTACTCATCACCCCCCTCTCTGTTGCCCCCGACACCAGCACGGCGCCCGTGCCACGCTTGGCGCTCAGTGCAGCGCGGCCCGCCCCCGGGTGCCTTCCCGGCGTTGCCCGCCGCCGCCTCCAAGGCCTGCCCGTGAGCGAAAAACACACATCGGCATCCGCGGCCTCGCGGGCTGGGCCTCTGGGCCGCGAATCCCCGCGGATCTGGGTTCTTGTTTCCGCTGATTCGGGGCCCACACACAGAGGGCAGAACATCCACCCCGATAATAACAACCCCGACACGCGAAGCCGTTTAGTGAACGCACCCAAAAAAGAAATCAAACAGGGCAGGGCTGTTTAGTAAACACCCAGGGCCGTTTAGTAAACGCCCAGGGCTGTTTAGTAATTGTCCGGTCCGGGTGGTTTTTCCTCCCTTGAACTCATATGCACCACCACCACCACCTCCCTCACCCCCTTCCCCCCCCAGGAAGAGGAGGCGAGGAAGAACAGGGTAGAGACGGGAGGAGGACTGGACGTGGTGGTGGTGTGCACTCTTGGGGCCCGCAGCTGATGCCCCGCGCGGAGCGCACCCGTGCGATCCCGCGCACCCGCGGGACCCTGCCCCAGACATCCAGACCGCGAAGGCGCGGATCCCGATGTGCTCGCCGCCCACGGCCTGCGGCGAATACTGGGCCCCGTCATGCTGCATGGCTCCGGACTGCGGCGGTCGGGCCCATCTGGAGCGCTTCTCTCGGTGGTGCGGAGATGGGGTCCTGAGAGGTGGGGCCCGAAGGCTGGGAATAGGGGGCAAACAAACCTACCTCGCTTTTGACCACCCTCGCTTCCAAGAGATACCAAACGATGCCCAATTGCAGCCTTTACTGGTCAGGCCGCTTGACGAGGAGGCGCGTGGTATGGCTTGGTTTGGCCTGGAAGCGAAAGCGGGGTAGGTAACTCACACTCTGAGGGAAGGGATCCAAAGGTGGATCTGCGTTCTCTGAGGCACCCCGCACTTAGGACCCCACCCCTCAGGACCCCAGCTCTGAACCACCGAGCTTCCTTAAGCGGGGGGCCGGCCGAGCAGCCTGGGGAGAGCGGGGGCGCAGGAGGCAACCCTCGTCGGGGCGGCGAGCACGATGCACCGCCTCCCTGCGGCTGCCCCTCTGCAGGGCTGCTCTGGCCGGTCGTCCCTCTCGTCGTCCGTCCCCCTCTCATTATCTCTCTCTCTCTCTCTCTCTCTATCTTTCTCTTTCTCTCTTGCTATTTCTCGATCTCTCTTCCTCTATCTCTCTCTCGCTCTCTCTCTCTCTCTCTCTCTCTCCCCTTCCTTCTACTTTACCATCCCCATCCTTGGCCCCTCCATATCCGTCCCCGTTGCCCGCTCCCTTCTCCTTCTGCCGCCCTCTCTCCCTGCCCCCCACGCCCGTCGATCTCTCCTCCTCTCCGCCTCTTCCCTCCCCAATCAACCTGCCTGCCTGCCTGCCTGCCTGCCTGACTTCCCCCTTGGCTCTGCGCAGCTCATGTGCTACCCATGTTCGTACGCCTGTCCTTCACTAGCTTCTGCGACATGGCTTTCACAGGTGCGCAACAGCTTACGGAGTCGCCGACGCAACCACCTGGCTGTTTGCTATTGGCAGACATGCGATTGGTGCGTGCGCCAATTGTCCAACCAATCGTGCCCCTTATCGCACTATTTTCGCTGCACCTGCACGATGGTAGATTCCAACTGCTTTGCGCAGTCATGCCGGCAGAGATCCCCCAAACGTGCAACCCGCAGCAAACCGGCAGCCACTATTCATAAACTATGTAAGGGCGTGGGGTGCACGTCAGTCGCGAGAAATAGGTCGAAATATCTAAAGTGTTTCTGCCCGCCTCCTCGCGGATGAGTTCAATACTCAAGGGCTTATTCCCCAAACAATGCTTGAACTCAAGGCTTCTTCCTTCCGGTCCGAGGAGCTGGGCCTGTCTGTCACTCTGCCGGCTATTTTGTCGCCGTCGCCGCCCCGTCGCCGCCCGTAACTGGGCCTGTCAGTCGGTCTGGCGGCTGTGTTGTCGCCGTCGCCGCGCCGTCGCCGCCTCGTCGCCGCCCGTCGTCTGGGCCTGTCCGTCGTAACATCCCAGCTGGACCTTAAAAAACAATCGCCCCCGATCATCGATCTCTGTCAGAAACCCACATGCGCGCGCAAGCTTTTTACCACCAGCCGCACACGTGAAACAACCTTTTGCAACAACACCAGATCCAGACGCGTGCGTCGTCGCGTGCGCATGCCCAAAATGCTTCAAAACTTGAGGTTTCGTGAGGGTTTCAAGGTCAAGATTCTCGGGGACATAAAAACAACCAGCGGTTTTGCAACATGGCGTTTCAAAGGAGTCTGCTCGCGCGCCCTTGCGCATTCTTACGACCCCCATCGGTTGTCCAAAGCCTGCAACACATTCGAACAAACGTTCTTTTTGCGCGCGGGAGTCGGATGTATTTGAACGTTTTCGCGCGGCCGCTGGGGTGGTGGGGGGGCTCGCTCCCTGTCAAATGATCACATGCGGGCCACTCGCGCCCGTCGGCCGCGCGCGCATGCCGAAATCCTTCCAACATCTTCAACACCAACACGTGGACACCATGATCGTCATCGGCGTGATCAACATCGGCGCCGTCATTGGCCTCGCCGTCGGCATCGCCACCATCGTCGCCATCATTTCTACCATTGCCTTGTTTTCCGTTATCGACGTCACCATGGTGCCGCGCTCTTGCGAACCACCAACGCGCGCTGAACTGCCCGCGCGCACGCTGGGCAAGGGTCTGCGCCGCCGCGGCCGCGTCGATCGCGCCAAACTAGGCCGCTCTGCGCGCGAGCCTGCTCGCGCCAGCGAGCCTGCAGCGATGCGCCAACCAGCCCCGAGCAGTCATCGCAAACGCCGCCGCATGCGCTTTGCACGACGTGTTGAATATAATATGGTTGCGCGAGCAGTGGGGTTCACGACTTCAAGTTTGGCAGGGTGAAGTGCACCACGTGGATTGGACCACATACGTTGCACATAGTAATCTATTTTTGCACATAAAAAATCACCCCCCCACCCCCGAAGTAACGGTCCCTTTTTTTATGGCAAACTGCAAATGATTTTGCCCCATCGCTCATCCCAAATATGAGTCCGTGCTATCCCCCCCCCCAGGCCTGTATCGACCCCACCGCCATCCTCTGCAAAAAGTGCAGTGCGCGCGCTCTCGTTCATGTGACGAAGTGCACTCGCGCGCGCCGCCGCGCGCACATGTTGGAATCCTGCGAAAAAACAATCGGTTCCGTAAAGATCAAAATCCAGTGTCACGAAAGCAGATAAAACATAGAGTGTTGCAGCACGACTGTTTTATACGTACATATACATATATAAACACATACAAAACAACATTGCGCCCGCACTCGTACGAATTCTTGAGAAACCACGGGTTTGTCAATACGTTCGTAAAGTGCTTCCAAATAGGTTTCTCGCGCGGACGTGTCGAAATCATTCAAACGCCCTTGCGCGCGCGCTGTCGCAACAATCCCTTGCAACAGGTGTGACGAAATGCGCACGCGCGCGTCGGCGCGCGCGCGTGCCAGATTCTTCGGCAAGGCCTTCTGTTCCGTAAGGGCTTCAACGCCGAGAAACCCAAGACCATAAACAACACGCGGTTTTGCAACACCCGTCTTCCAACAACCACGCGCTCTTGCCCAGGCGGGGTCGTCAGAAAATCATTGGTTTCCAGCGCGTTCATCCAATTATGCAAAGCAGGCCTTTCGCGCCGCATGTCGAACTCATTCGGGCGCCCTTGCGCGCGTGCTGGGGCAGGGGGGGGGGCGGGCACGATCCGTGTCAAATAATACCGCGCGGGCCAGCCGCGCGCGTCGGAACCTCCACCGCCGACGCGAGGGCATCGTTGTCGTTACCGGCGGGCGTGATCAAAATCGGCGCCGTGATTGGTCCTGCCGTTGTCATCGCCAGCTTCGTCACCATCGCTAGTCTCATAACTGATCGCGTCTACCGTTGTAGGCGTCGCCATGATGCCGCGCCCGCCCAAATCACCGACTCGCACTGCAGTGCCCAGTGGGAAATGCCCAGCGGTCAGCGCCAGGGCGGCCACGTCGGCCGCGCCAAACTAGCTGGCGGCTGTGCGCGCGAGCATGCGCGGGCTAGCGCGGCCGCGAAAATGCACCAGCCAACGCCAAGCACTCATCGCAATCGCTGCTGAGTTTTCCAAACCAAGTTGCGGGTGGGTGGGTGGGCGGGATGTTTGCAAGAGCGCGGGCTGTGTCAACCCGCTTGTTTGTAAAATCATTTGCACCACGTAGATTTGCCCCACGTAAACGTCACCACGTAGCTTACACAACATAGGGTCCAGCACTTAAGCGACAAGAAATGTATTGCACAACGTATATTCTCCGATCCTAAAGAATATTCGAGAACCCCAAAGAAATTATCGGTTCCCCTTTTTTCATAATGGAATTTGCGTATGATTCTGCCCCATCGTCCATCCAAAACACGACCTCGTACCATACCAAACAGGCTGGTTTCACCCCCTTCTCATCCATTGCAAGGAAAAAAAACGCGTGCACCCGTGTATCAACAAGCATCAATTGCCACGGGTCCATCCCATGCAGCAAGTGGGACGTAGTGCGCACGCGCGCGTCGTCGCGCGTTTGCGGGAATCCTTCAACAACCTCAGGTTTCGTAGAGATTTCAAGGTCGGCTGTCCTGGCACCATATAAACACATGGTTTCTCAGCAATAGTTGTCCAACGAAGTTTGCTCTCGGGCTCTTGCGAATTCTTCAGATAATTCTAATGTCTTCCACATTTTGACATGTTGCTACCAAGCGGGCTTATCGCGCGCACGTATCCGAATCGCGAGAACGCCCTTGCACGCGTGCTGTCGCAAGGAACTGTTCCAATAACTGAAACGGAATGCGCGCGCGCATCGTCGCGCGCGCAGCCAACATCCGTCAGAAACCAGACTTGTCGTACAGATGCCAAACATGAGCGCCCGGAAACAAATCAAAACACATGGTTTTGCACCATCCGTTTATAAGAATGCCTGCGCTCGCGCTCCTGCCAGTTCTTACGAAAAGGATTGTTTTTTGCTCGACATCTTCCGTCGATTCGGCCAAGGGGGCCCCTCGCGCCGCACGTCGAAATCATTCGAACGCCCTTGCGCGCGTGCTGGGGGGGCACTACCCGTGTCAAATAGTACCGGCGGGCAACTCTCGCGCGTCGGCCGCGCGCGCATGTCGAACTCCCTCCGAAACCTTTATCACCGACGCGAGGGCGCCGTCATCGTCGCCGGCGTGATCAGCATCGGTGCCATCACTGGCCTTGCTGTCGTCGTTGTCATCATCATCATCATCAGCAGCGTCGCTAGCATCATCATCGCGTCTACCGCTGTCGACGTTGCCCAGCGGTCAGCGCCACCGCGGCCGCGTCGGTCGCGCCAAACGAACTTGCCGCTGCACGCGCGAGCATGCGTGGGCTAGCGCACCCGCAGAGATGCACCCGCCAATTCCAACCACTCATCGCAATCGCCGCCGAATGCGTTTTGCAAACCAAGTTGTGGGTGGGTGGGTGGGACGATTGCGCGAACAGCGGAGTGGACAACTCACTGCGAAGAGGAAGCATTTGCACCGCATATAACGCACAACGTAGATAGCACCACATATATTGCGCCACGCAGATCGCACACATAGATTCTCCTGTCTAAAAAACTAATAGATTCTACCCCCCCCCCCCCCGGACTTATCGCCCCCCCCGCGCGTGCTGTAAATTACATATGATTCTGACCACATGTCCATCCTAAATATGAATTCATACCATCCCAGCCAAGCCGGTATCCCCCCCCCTGCGGTTCCCTGTCAAATAAAACTATGCGGTGACATGTTTTGTTCTAACATATCACTTGTTCACGAATCCCTTGCAAAAAAAGGGACGAAGTGCACACGCGCGCGTCGTGGCGCGCTCATGCCGAAATCCTTAAAAAACCTTCGGTTCCGGAGAGATTTCAAAATTGAATTTCCCAAAAACATATAAAAAACACATGTTTTCGCAACACTGGTTCAAAAAAAAAACTTACGCGCGAGCTCTTGCGAAATCTTAAGAAAATCATAGGTTTTCCAAGATTTTCACAAAATGCTACCAAACGGGCTTCGCGCGCGCGCGCATGTCGAAATCTGTCGAACGCTCTTGCGCGTGTGCCGTCGCGAGAATCCTCTGCAAAAAAATGGGACGAAGTGCAGACGCGCGCGTCGTCGCGGGCGTATGCCGAAATCCTTCAAAAACCTTCGGTTTCGGAAAAATGTCGAAATCGTGCGTCCAAAAAACATACAAAAACACAAGGTTTCGCAACACGGGTTTTCAACAAAACTGTGCGCGCGCGCTCTTGCGTCGTCGTCGTCGTCGTCGTCGTCCTCCCTCCTTCCTCGTCGTCGTCGTCGTCGTCGCCGTCGTCGTCTTCTGTCTTTCCTCGTCGTCTTTGGCGTCGTCGTCGTTTCCGTCGTCGTTGTCGCCGTGGTCGTCCTTCCTCCCTCGTTGTCTTCGTCGGCGTCTCGTCGTTGTCCCTCCTATTTCGTCGCCGTCGTCGTCGTCGTCGTCGTCGTCGTCGTGGTCTTCACCCCTCCCTCGTCGTTATCCTCCTCCCTCGTCGTCGTCGTCCATCGTCGGCGTCTCGTCGTCGTCCCTCCTATTTCGTCGCCGTCGTCGTCGTCGTCTTCGTCGTCGTTGTCATCGTCGTCGTCTTCCCTCCTTCCTCGTCGTTGCCGTCGTCGGCGTTTCCGTCCTTCCTCCTTCTTCGTCGTTGGCGTCGTCGCCGTCTTCCCTCCTCCATCGTCGTTGTCGTCGTTGTCGCCGTCGTCGTTTTTTCTCCTCCCTCGTCGTCGTCTCCGTTGGCGACGTCGTCGTCGTCTTCGTCGTCGGCGTCGGCGTCGTTGTCGTCATCGTCGGTGTCGTCGTCGTCGTCGTCGTTGTCGTCGTCGAAAACATTGGAGACGTCGTCGGTGTCGTCGCACACGCTGTCGGCGGCGCCGTCGTCTTCGATGTCGCTGTCGTCGTCGGCATCGGTGTCGTGGCCGAGTGCCACGCAGTACCTACCGTCACGGTCTTGTCTAAAGATGTCTTGCGTCCAAGTTGCGGGTGGGAGGGTGGGATGTTTGCACGAGCAGTGGAGAGGACAGCTTCAAGACAGTCGAAGTGGATTGCACACCGTAGATTCTCCTTTCTGAAAGACTAATAGATTCTACCACCCCCCCGGACTTATCGGGACCCCCGCGCGTGCGATAAATTACATATGATTCTGACCACATGTCCATCATAAATATGAATTCATACTATCCCAGCCAAGCCGGTATCCCCCCCCTGCGGTTCCCTTGTAAAAAACCCTCTGCGGTGACATTGTTTGTTCCAACATAGCACTTTTTTCACGAATCCCTTGCAAAAAAAGGGACGAAGTGCACACGCGCGCGCCGTGGCGCGCTCATGCCGAAATCCTTAAAAAACCTTCGGTCCCGGAGAGATTTCAAAATTGAATTTCCAAAAAACATATAAAAACACATGGTTTCGCAACACTGATTCAAAAAAAAACTTACGCGCGAGCTCTTGCGAAATCTTAAGAAAACCATAGGTTTTCCAAGATTTTCACAAAATCTACCAAACGGGCTTCGCGCGCGCGCATGTCGAAATCTGTCGAACGCTCTTGCGCGTGTGCCGTCGCGAGAATCCTCTGCAAAAAAATGGGACGAAGTGCAGACGCGCGCGTCGTCGCGGGCGTATGCCGAAATCCTTCAAAAACCTTCGGTTTCGGAAAAATGTCGAAATCGTGCGTCCAAAAAACATACAAAAACACAAGGTTTCACAACACGGGTTTTCAACAAAATTGTGCGTGCGCGCTCTTTCGTCGTCGTCGTCGTCGTCCTCCCTCCTCCCTCGTCGTCGTCGTCGTCGTCGTCGCCGTCGTCGTCTTCTGTCTTTCCTCGTCGTCTTTGGCGTCGTCGTCGTTTCCGTCGTCGTTGTCGCCGTGGTCGTCCTTCCTCCCTCGTTGTCTTCGTCGGCGTCTCGTCGTTGTCCCTCCTATTTCGTCGCCGTCGTCGTCGTCGTCGTCGTCGTCGTGGTCTTCACTCCTCCCTCGTCGTTATCCTCCTCCCTCGTCGTCGTCGTCCGTCGTCGGCGTCTCGTCGTCGTCCTATTTCGTCGCCGTCGTCGTCGTCTTCGTCGTCGTTGTCATCGTCGTCGTCTTCCCTCCTCCCTCGTCGTTGTCGTCGTCGGCGTCGCCGTCCTTCCTCCTTCTTCGTCGTTGGCGTCGTCGCCGTCTTCCCTCCTCTATCGTCGTTGTCGTCGTTGTCGCCGTCGTCGTTTTTTCTCCTCCCTCGTCGTCGTCTCCGTTGGCGACGTCGTCGTCGTCTTCGTCGTCGTCGTCGGCGTCGTGTCGTCGTCGTCGTCGGTGTCGTCGTCGTCGTTGTCGTCGTCGAAAACATTGGAGACGTCGTCGGTGTCGTCGCAGTCGCTGTCGGCGGCGCCGTCGTCGTCGATGTCGCTGTCGTCGTCGGCATCGGTGTCGTGGCCAAGTGCCACGCAGTACCTACCGTCACGGTCTTGTCTGAAGATGTCTTGCGACCAAGTTGCAAGTGGGAGGGCGGGATGTTTGCACGAGCAGTGGAGAGGACAGCTTCAAGACAGTCGAAGTGGATTCTCCTTTCTGAAAGACTAATAGATTCTACCCCCCCCCCCGGACTTATCGGGACCCCCGCGCGTGCTGTAAATTACATATGATTCTGACCACATGTCCATCATAAATATGAATTCATACTATCCCAGCCAAGCCGGGTTCCCCCCCACTGCGGTTCCCTTGCAAAAAACACTATGCGGTGACATGTTTTGTTCTAACATATCACTTTTTCACGAATCCCTTGCAACAAATGAAACGAAGTGCACACGCGCGCGTCGTCGCGCGCGCATGCCGAAATCCTTCAAAAACCTTCGGTGCCGGAAAGATTTCGCAACCGAGTTTCCAAAACACATACAAAAACACATGGTTTCGCAACACTGATTTGCTAAAAAAACTTCCGCGCGAGGTCTCGCGAAATCTTAAGAAAACCATAGGTTTTCCAAGATTTTCACAAAATGCTACCAAACGGGCTTCGCGCGCGCATGTCGAAATCTGTCGAACGCCCTTGCGCGTGTGCCGTCGCGAGAATCCTCTGCAAAAAACGGGACGAAGTGCAGACGCGCGCGTCGTCGCGGGCGTATGCCGAAATCCTTCAAAAACCATCGGTTTCGGAAGGATTTCAAAATCGTGCGTCCAAAAAACCTACAAGAACCCAAGAACCCAAGTTTTCGCAACACGGATTTTCAACAAAAGCGTGCGCGCGCGCTCTTGCGTCGTCGTCGTCGTCGTCGTCCTCCCTCCTCCCGTCGTCGTCGTCGTCGTCGTCGCCGTCGTCGTCTTCTGTCTTTCCTCGTCGTCGTTGTCGTCGTCTTGGCGTCGTCGTCGTTTCCGTCGTCGTTGTCGCCGTGGTCGTCCTTCCTCCCTCGTTGTCTTCGTCGGCGTCTCGTCGTTGTCCCTCCTATTTCGTCGCCGTCGTCGTCGTCGTCGTCGTCGTGGTCTTCACTCCTCCCTCGTCGTTATCCTCCTCCCTCGTCGTCGTCGTCCGTCGTCGGCGTCTCGTCGTCGTCCTTTCATTTCGTCGCCGTCGTCGTCGTCTTCGTCGTCGTTGTCATCGTCGTCGTCTTCCCTCCTCCCTCGTCGTTGTCGTCGTCGGCGTCGCCGTCCTTCCTCCTTCTTCGTCGTTGGCGTCGTCGCCGTCTTCCCTCCTCCATCGTCGTTGTCGTCGTTGTCGCCGTCGTCGTTTTTTCTCCTCCCTCGTCGTCGTCTCCGTTGGCGACGTCGTCGTCGTCTTCGTCGTCGTCGTCGGCGTCGTCGTCTTCCCTCCTTCCTCGTCGTTGTCGTCGTCGGCGTTTCCGTCCTTCCTCCTTCTTCGTCGTTGGCATCGTCGTCGTCTTCCCTCCTCCATCGTCGTTGTCGTCGTTGTCGCCGTCGTCGTTTTTTCTCCTCCCTCGTCGTCGTCTCCGTTGGCGACGTCGTCGTCGTCTTCGTCGTCGTCGTCGGCGTCGTTGTCGTCGTCGTCGGTGTCGTCGTCGTTGTCGCCGTCGAAAACATTGGAGACGTCGTCGGTGTCGTCGCAGTCGCCGTCGGCGGTGCCGTCGTCGTCAATGTCGCTGTCGTCGTCGGCATCGGTGTCGTGGCCAAGTGCCATGTGGTACCTACCGTCACGGTCTTGTCTGAAGAGGTCTTGCGACCAAGTTGCGGGTGGGAGGGTGATATGTTTGCACGAGCAGTGGAGAGGACAGCTTCAAGACGGTCAAGATTAATTGCACCACGTAGACTGCACCAGATAGACTGCACCACGCAACTTGCACAACACAGAGTGAGCCGCGTAGATTGCACCACATGGACTGCGCAAAATACAGTGCACCACCTAGAATGCACAACGTATATTGCGCCACGTAGATTGCACAACATCGATTGCCAGAAACACACTGTTCGGGGACCGCGCTGGCTAACAGACTCGCCCAACAAAACGATATGGCGCAACTTATGTTGTATAAATTACGTGAATCAATCGATGTGATGCTGGTAAGGCTTCGGGTTGCTCACGCGCAGCCCATCCTGGTGGTCCCAAGTGGCCCCAACAGACCCCTCTGAGTAGCCTGGGAAGGTCTCATCACCCCAACCCCTGGGGCGCGGAGCGCCCCAGGGGCGCCGCCGGAAGCGGCGCCAGGGTGGTGAGACCGCCTCTGGCTACTCGGTGGGCCTGTTGAGGCCAACTAGGGCTACTCGGAGAGCCTGCTGAGGCCAGCCAGATCTACCTGGGGGAGGAAGCTTTCTGCGCGCATCCCGAAGCCTAAGTCTGGCAATGCCACCCGCCAGGCCGCCACGAGGCGGAAACGGGCGGACCGGGCGACAATCCAGAGACGCCAGCCAGCGCACGGGGCGGCCAGGAGGCAGCCACTGCCAGGTCCTGGGCGAAAGCCCCAAAACGTAAGCCATTTACCCCAAAAACAAAATAAGGAACCCTCAGTGAAAGCACGGTTTGGCAATACAGGGGCACGTTCGTTGTCGATCTGTGACCTGTCCGAGGTGCCACAGGGCTCCTGTGGGCCCCCAGAGGGCCATCCAGGGATCAAGAACCCTCGCGGGGCACATGCTGGCCGGCCGGCTTCTTATTCGATGTGCCCACTGCACCGGCTCTCAAAGACCGACGAGCACCCGGGGCTCTCGCACCATCGAGCGCGGCCGAAGGCAGCGACCGGCTCGAGGCGGTGGCCCGAGAGCCCCCGTGGAGATGCCTGGCCGGCTCTCCCGCCAGAAATAGGAAACAAAAACGCCATAACCATTAATTCGTTGTCGCTCCGTGCGGATTTCTTGGATCCGCGCCAGACCCCCCTCCCTGGCGCGTGGAGCGCGCCAGCCGCGCCAGACCCCCCTCCCTTGCGCGTGGAGCGCGCCAGGGGCGGCGCTTGAGGCGCTGCCGGGAGAGGGGCCAGCGCGGATCCGGGAAATCCGCGCGGAGCGCTCAAACTTTATGCTTCTGGCGTTCTTCCTTCTTCGATCTCCTGCCGACGGGCGCCTCATGGCAGATGCATGCCGGCCCAGCTCCGCTCCCTCGCGCGGCGGCTCCCCGAGGGGAAGAACACACCAGCCGCGGCAGGCCTTGGGGCTCTCCCGTGGGCGCCTCGCTGCGGAAGGCGGCGCCTGGGCGGCGCCGACGCCGCGCCCCCGCAGTCGGAGGGATGCACTTCGGCGCCCCGGAGGTCCCGCGGAGGAATAGAGGCCTCCGGGATGGGCTCCGAGCAAGTGGGGTCAAAAGATCGCGCCGCACCGCCAATGCATCGGCGATGCGTCGGCGATGCAGCGGCGACGTCGGCGATGCAGCGGCGACGTCGGCGCGGGGAAACACGGGCTCCACATCGAGCCGCATCGGCGATGCATCGGCGATGCGGCGCGATCCTCTGACCCCATCTACTCGGACCCATATAGGAGGCCTCGAAGGAAGCAACAGTTCCAATGCCGACGGATCCGAGGAGTGAGCACGACATCGAGTTACACAGCAGAAGCCTCAACTCGCGGAGGTCCGCGCGGCTTTCTCGGATCGGCGCGGGGGCCCCCCCGGGCCCCACCGCGCCCCGCCCACGACGGTCGGAGCGCGCCGGGGACGGCAGGAGGTGGGCCCGGCGCCGATCCAAGACATGCGCGCAGACCTCTGCCGAACACGCGCTGCTGCTTCCAGGAACCAAATCATGTTCGTGTGCTCGTGCCTGAGCAGCGACTTCGACAAAGGCACTCGTTCTAGGGACGGATATACTGTTTAGGGGCGAACCAGGTTTCGTGCGCGCACGTGCTGCGCGCGTGGCTTGTGTGTGTCTGTGTGTGTGCGTGTGGGTGGGGCGCTCCCGAGAATATGTGGCACTCGCCTTATGCCTTGTTCACTCAAAGACGTTTGAAATTGCCATGGGTGTGCAATGGTCCTGATATACCACCGCGACCGTGCTCGTAGCACTGCTGGCGTTGCTGGACGACCCGGCAGTTGAGTGTTTCACTAGCTCGCGTACAGCGCTGGCCAGTCGACAACAAACCTTCCACAGTAGTCCTGACCCTCAGACCCCAGAACGCCACGCTTTCAATAGAAAGCCCATCGACACCTAAGACACCCAGGGCACCTTGGAGGCAAGCAGTAAGCACTGTGTTTCTTGGCATGGGTCTCCACTGTATGTGTGTGTATTTTTGTGTGTGCGTGCGTGTGTGTGCGTGCTTGTTTCTCAGCGCGGCAGCACGCGCAGAGCCGTGCTGTGCACACACACGCGCAGCCCAACAAACAGCTGTCACGCCCGAGCCACCCCCGCGCAGGCCAGAGCCCGGGCACGCGCACACGGGCAGCATTTTGGGGCCTCGCCCCGGGCCAGAGACGCCCAAGACAACTGACTGCAGACCATTCTTCACAACTCAGACCAAGCCTCTGGAAGCAGTGTGTGTGTGTGCATGTGCGTGTGTGCATGTGCGTGTGTGCATGTGTGATGTGTGTGCGTTCGTGCGTGCATGCGTGCGTGCGTGTGTGCGTGTGCCTGTGTGTGTATTTAGGCGTACGTGTGCGCGTGCGCGAGCGCGCGCATGCGATTGTGCGCGCGTGCGATTGCGTGTGGGATGCGCCGAAGGTTGGCTATTCGACCACACTGTGGTACTCAGGTGAGCAGGTTAACGACATTATCAAGCTATCGTGGTATCTGATTACTTTGACCAGTCCTTCATACGCAGCGCGGCTTAGCAACCCAAGATGAGCTGAATGCACCTGGGTTGAGAACAATAAGTCTGGGGGAAAGGTCATGGGGTAAGGTCATGTTCGACGTGGATGAAATAGCCTGACGGTGGGAAACATATGCGAAGAAGTCTGCCAGAGGCCAAGACATCCGGCGATTCGATCAGGTCCCGCCTGAAGTTTGGGGCAATTCTCCACGTCTGGAAAACCGTTTCTCGGCCCCGGGGCCATGAGCAGACTACTCAGGACCAGACTCCACTCTGCGACGAGGGGGTCGAGATCTCTCGGGATCAGGCATTGGACCAACGCATCACGACGACGTCGCTCTGAGAGCACTCGTGGCTGGGCTCACACGTGCAACGCGGGGAGGTCACGCGGGGAATGCGCATGCGGAGGGCAGGCGTTCCTGGCCATGCGAGGGCCGCTTGCTGAGATTACCTGCGGCCACAGTTGCCTTTGCAGATCCCATCCCCAGACTATGGTTTGACTATTTTTGACAATATTCCTCCTGTATGGAACAGCCCGAGTCAATACTTGCGCCATAGCTCGTCAGCTCTGGACTGCCGTGCCTCGGGGGCGAGCCCAGGCTCCTAAAAATTATATATACATATCCGGCCGCAAGAACTTGGATTTAAGCCTGTTCAAATCACAAGGTGCGGCGACGGCGCAGGGAGCCATCCAAGCGCAGCGGCGAAAAGCCAGAAAAGCCAAAAAGAGATCTGGAGACGAGGAGTGGGCACATGTCTGGGGGCACGAAGAATGCCAAAAACATAACGACTCGGAGGTCCGCGCGGATTTCTCGGATTCGCGCTGGACCCCCCCGGCGTCGCCTCTGCCGCCGCCCCTGGCGCGCTCCGCGCGCCAGGGAGGCGGGTCCAGCGCGGATCCAATAAATCCGCGCGGACCTCTGAATTTCCATGTTTATGTAATTGCTCGTTCCCCGAATGTCGCGTTGCGGACGGCTGGAGCAAATACTGTGTGTGGGCACAGGACATATGATGAGATGTCGCAGCGATGAGGACTTCGATCAGCGAGAGCGGCTTCCGTCAACGAAGTGACCAGCAACATATTGGGCCAACATCAATCGATGCTGTATTGAGTCAGGGAGCCCTGTAATCAGCGTGTGGGTGCTGGGCGTAATAGTCCAACAGTCGGTTGTGTTACTTCCTGAGCTTCTGGTTGCCTGTCCCAGAATCATGCCTGAACAGACCCTTGTGGCTGTCTACGCGACTACGATGATGATAGAACTCTCCCCTCGGTGTTGGGCTTCTCTGAAGGGGCCCCAGGACACACAACTAAATACACGCAAATGAAAAGATTCCCACTATTTTCCCATATTTTGTGGGGGGGGTCTTACCCCCCACTTCTCATATTTTCCAATGTTTTCTAGGGAATCGACGAGTCTTTGTGCCTGTGTGTTTCTTTCCCCTCCTGATTCCCTTGCTTCGACTCCAGCTCTTCCCCGTTGCACGCCACTGGCCAGACCTGAGTAGGCCACCGCTTCCAGGGGCGTGCGCACCGCTTCGGCCCTGGGCCTCGGGGGACGGCTCGGAGACCCCGGGCCCCCCGACGCAGACAGCACCCGCGGACCCCGTGCGGCAAACGGCGCAGCATGGCAGCTCCAGGAGGCACGAAATCGGGCGGCGGGATCTGTACGTATCCACTTAGGGGGAAAACAAACCTACCTCGCTTTTGACCACCCTCGCTCCCAAGAGATACTAAACGATGCCAAACTGCGGCCTGTACTGGTCAGGCCGCTTGACGAGGAGGCGCGTGGTATGACTTGGTTTTGCCTGGAAGCGAAAGCGGGGTAGGCAATTCACGCTCTGAGAGGAGGAGGAGGAGAAGAAGAAGGAGGACGAAGAAGAAGAAGAAGACGAAGAGGAGGAGGAGGAGGAGGAGGAGGAGGATGGGGGACGAAGAGGAGGAGGAGGAGGAGGGAGGAGGAGAGGAAAGGTAGGAGAGGGGAGGATGAGGAGGAGGAGGAGGAGGAAGGAGGAGGAGGAGACGAAAGGAGGAGGATGAGAAAGAAGAACAGGACTGGTCTGCGCGTCGGTTGTCTCGCGTGCCTGGCCAGGCCCCAGCGCCGCGCCTCTCGCGCCCCGGCGAGGGCGCAGCGCCCGCGCCAACCAGCACGATATGCCCAGTGCCAAAGGAGGAGGGAGGAGGAGGGAGGAGGAGGAGGAGGAGGAGGAGGAGGCGGAGGAGGAGCATGCGCTGTCCTGGCCTGGCCTGCATCTGCGGCGCTGCTGGGCCCAGCAGGGGCCGGGCCTCGGGCGGTGGAGGCGCACAGAGTTGGTTCCCCTGCCGGTCCGAGGCGGTGGGTACGTGAACGGTTTCTTGTCCGGCGTTTCGCCATTGGGCGGGAGGGGGGGGAGGGTGGGGAGGGGTGTGTAAAACAGGGCTAGGATCGGGATAAATCGCTCCAGAGCGTTCCGGAGCGCTCTCAGAGCGTTCCGGAACGCTCTGGAGCGGCCGCGGCGCCCAATACATCCTCCAAACCCGCCGATTCTCAGAGATTTCGAGTTATCCCGATCCGATTTTGTCCCGATCTTCGCGTCGTTTGAGTCTAGCTCCAGACCCCTGCTTGGTGCGACGGTTTGCAGCGAGAGCGCGAAGGAAGTCCCGAGCGAGAGCGCGATTCCTGCATAAAGCGCGAGGGAGTCTCGGGCGGGAGCGGGGCACCTGCTCGAAGCAAACGCCAACAACAGCCAAGATCTACTCGGGGGGGAGGGGAGAGGGCGGGGGTGCGAGGGCCCGCGCCGATGGGCAAAACAATCAATCAGGAAACGATGACCATGGATATCTTTCAGGCCCCCAAGGGCTCGAAACTATCCGTATTCATTGCTTCCACAGAATGTCCTGGGACATCGGTTCCCCCTGTGGGGGATAAGAGCAATGTCCGGCCAAACTGGGCACATTGGCCCTGACCTCTCCGGAGCGGCCTGTACCTTCTCTTCCGTTCTGGGCGCGCTACCCCCTGCTGCGTCAGGCTCTGGAGGCTTCGTGGAGCTCGCGGCAGTCGCGGCTCGGTCGAATCCTTCATCGATGTGAAGGACCACGGGGACGCGCGAGACGGACGACCCTGCACTCTAAACTTGTCGAAGAAAGATCCCGACGTCCTGCTCTCGCGCACGCCCGCCCGTGCGAGAGTGGCACAGCGAAAATAGGACGGTAGGCCCCCGAAGATCCACTGATCCGGGAAACGACGGGACTGAAGTCGTCATGAAAGAAGCGAGCCCTGATGGAAACCGTATCCTGTGGCCTGTGACCTTCCTCCTCCTCCGCCTCCTCCTCCTCCTCCTCCTCCTCCTCCTACCTCCTGCTGCCTCCCCCACGTCCTCCCTCCCCCTCTAGAGAAGCAGCAGCCGGCATAAGCATAAACTGTCGGAGGTCCGCGCGCATCTCTCGGATCGGCGTTTTGAACCCACTCCCTGGCGCGAGGAGCGCGCCAGGGGTGGCGCCGGAGGCGCCGCCAGGGGGGCCCAGCGCAGATCCAAGAGATCCGCGCAGAGCGCAGAAACGGTTCCTGAGGGAAACTGGTCCTGGACCATTGGGCCTTCCCCCAGGAAGAACTCTTCATTGATGTGCCTGTTTTCCCCTGTTTTCCACCACCACCACCACCATAAGTTGGAGGGGGGAAGGAGGTGTAGGATCAGGAGGAGGAGGAGGAGGAGGAGGAGGAGGAGGAGGAGGAGGAGGAGGAGGAGGTGTAGGAGGAGGAGCACGAAGAGGAGGAGGAGGAGGAGGAGGAGGAGGACCCACTCGCCTTCCAACTTATGGTGGTGGTGCTTGTGGAAAACAGGCCCATCATTCATCCTGAGTCGTTTTCTGACGGTCCTGAGGCCCGTGGAGGGCCCTGAGAGCCCGAAAACGGTGAGAGAAACCTCGGGGCCTGTTTCCCTGAGGACCCGTTGCCCCCAGAGGGCGATTTTTCGGGCTGGGAAGATGCAGCGCACGAATGTGCAACAAAACTTATATTGCTCCCATCGTACTTAAGCGCCGCATCCCAGAAAAACAAAACGCCTGCGTCATAACACAGGTCATAAAACATAACACTTGCGTCACAAAACAAAACACACCTAAATCGGTTGGAGCATCATAACACAAACACCTGCGTCAGGCTAGATGCTATGGATGACCTGGTCATCTCTCCCAGCCCGACCCTCCCAACCAGTGATTTGTTGTTGCTCGAAGTCTTCAGGGGAACGAGCAATGACATAAACGTACAAACTCGGAGGTCCGCGCGGATTTCTCGGATCCGGACTGGACCCCCTGGCGGCGCCTCCGGCGCCGCCCCTGGCGCGCTCCGCGCGCCAGGGAGGGGGGTCCAGCGCCGCTCCGAGAAATCCGCGCGGACCCCCGAGTTCTTATGTTTATGTCATTATTCGCTCCCCTGCGAGGACGGGGCGGAGGACGGCCCAGGCCGGGCCCTCCGAGAGGAGCAGTGGAAGGAGGTAGGGGACTTGGTCGGGGTCCTCCACCACTTCGTGTTTATGTCGTTCTTCGTTCCCCTAATTTTGATATCTATGCCCTGATTTCCTCTACGGCCCCTGGTCATGGTGCCGGTCCTGCGTTCGGGGCGCACCAGGGGCGGGAGCGAGGGGGGAGCGCGGGCAAAGGCGCGGAGGATATAAAGCCGCCCGCGGCGCGCGGCAGCGACGAGGGCGCGTGGGACCGAGCATGCCCCATCATCATAATCATCATCATCATCATCATCATCATCATCATCATCATCATCATCATCATCAGCATCAACATCAGCAGCATCATCATCAGCCTCATCATCGACATCGTCATCACCATCATCATCATCATCATCATCATCATCATCATCATCACCATCACCATCATCATCAGCATCGTCATCACCAGCAGCATCATAATCATCATTACCATCAACATCCTCACCTTTACAATCATCATCATCATCGTCATCATCATCGTCATCATCATTATCATCATCCTCAGCATCATCATCATGACCAGCACCCTCATCAGCATCATCAGCAGCACCAGTATCATCATCAACATCACCATCATCATCATCATCATCAACACCAACATCATCGTCATTATCATCACCTTCCTCATCAACACCATGATCATCAGCACCATCATGAAAACCGTCATCTTCAACATGTTGATCATCATGATGCGCATAATCATCGTCAATACCATCGTCACCGTAATCAACACGAACATCAACACCATGAACACCAACATCATCACCACCGTCATCCCTAGGATCCTAGTCACCAGTCATCACCATCATCAGCATCACCAGAATCGCTCATCATCATCACAACCATCGTCGTCGTCCTCATTAGCATCACGATCATCATCATCATCGTCATCATCATCATGATCAGCATCGCCAGTGTCAGCATCACCAACAGCATCCACATCAACACCACCAACCTCAACCTCAATTTCAACCTCATCATCATCATCATCATCATCATCATCAACATCATCATCATCATCACCATCATCAGCACCGTCAGTACCAGCATCACCATCACAGCGTTTCCACCCTCCTCCCCCTCCTCCTCCTCCTCCTCCTCATCATCATTGACGTGGCCCCCTCAGCGGCAGTCCGAGCCCGAAGGCCGCGGCCAAAGTACGATCAGCTGCCAGCGGCAGCTTTTGACAGAGAGCGGCCGAAGAGGGGGCGCAGGCCACCGACGGAGAAAGGTGGCGTGGACGGCGATAACAACGTTGTCTTGCCGCCACCACGTCCGCCAAAGCTCGTCATTTTCATCGTGCTCCTTCTCCTCCGGCTCCTCCTCCTCCTCCTCCTGCTCCAGCTCCGCCTCCTTCTCATCCTCCTCTCTCTCTCTCTCTGTTTTCTCCCTCTATCTCTCTTTCTCCTTCGGTCTCTCTGTCGCTCTGTTTTGTTTTTTTGTTCTCTCTCTCTCTCTGTCTCTCTCTCTCTCTCTCTCTCTCTCTCTTTCTCTCTTTCTACATGTTTCAATGTGTTTGGTCTCGCTCTCCCTCTCTCTCTAACGCTCTTTCTCTCTGTCCGTATGTGTTGTGTGTGTCTCTCTCTATGTACGTATGATAAATATTATCTTGTCTCATCTCTTCTCTACCATTACAAACCCTTGTGGGTGGGTGTGGGTGGAAGGGTGTCCGTCTCGCCCAATCTCCTTTCAGAAAGAAGCAATCGGCGTCCACCACCCTCCCCTGTGGAACAAATTACGGGATTGGAGACACGCCCGATCCACCACCAGTCCACTCAATTTAGAAAGGGGGAGTGTCCACATTGCAACCTTTCTCTCTCTCTCTCTCTCTTTAGAGAGAGAGAGAGAGAGAGAGAGAGAGAAAGAGAAAGACAACGTATGCGCGTCCGTGCCACCACCAAACCTCCCACAAGAGAACGGGAGGGTGGCTGTGCCAGCACGCTTCCTCCTCAGGAGACGGCTCAGCGTCTGTCCAACCTCATCTGCCCTCAGGCAGAAGAGCCGGTATCTGCCCACATCTCATCTGGATCGGATGGTGAGGACGGAGACACGACCATCCCAAACAGGAACGCGGAGGTGGGCTGGCAACCAGGAGTGCCTAGCAGGGCATGTGGAGATGCGCCACCACATTGCCCTACCTCTCGAAGAGGGCTCGGCAAAGGTGCCCGTGCCATCCCCTGCCCTGTGAACAGGATGGGGAAACGTCCGTCCCACCTCCCCCTGGGATGATTGACGCTGATGTGCAAACACCTCCCTCGTAGAGGCAATCGAAAAGGAAACTGCGAGCATCCCACCACAGGCCGCCCAAAACAAGGATGGAGAGATTGCCAGCAAAGCCGTCGCCCTGCAGAGATACTTGAAATTCCCCACGCCGTCGCCGAGCCACCGACGAAATCATGGACATATCTCCTTCATCCCTCATCCATCCCCCTGGTAATACCTCCTCCCAACCCTTCTCATTATCATTCCCGTTCCCTTTCTCTCACCCCTCCCCCTTCTGCTGGCCGCGTGTGTTCGTCCTCCTTATGTCCTCCTTCTTGAAGAGGTCCTTCTTGAAGAGAGCCTTCTGACTTATCTAGACCGCCCTCTTCAATTGCCAACACACGCTTGCGATGCCTGCGTACTACCTCTGGCACCCAGAAAACACCCCCTTGGCCAAGAGCAGTACAAGGGCGAGGATCATGATGAGGCGCATGCGGCGACGAGCCTCGCATACCGAGTGCATGGCCAACTCTCCAACTGAGTGTGCCATCTCAACCGGGAAATCCACAGGCCCTGAAACAGGAAGTCGCAAGACTCTTTATGACAAGAAAGACCAGGCGAGCAACCTGCAGGTAATGCAGGCAATTCAATGAAGCTGATGCCATGTAACTCCGTGCGGAAAAGTCGCTCTCAAACTCTGCCCACGCAGAGCGAACAGAACGTAGCGTTCACGGAAATAGTGTGTACAGAGCCCACAGACTCCAAGCTGAATTGACAGCGCGGTGCGAACCTGAGGCGAGCTGGTTGACGTCTCTACGCATCGAGCAAAAACTTGCGCCTGCGGGCCGATCGGTTACTGTGTCCAATGGAGAAAAATCCGATCACCAAACATTCCCCTGGACAACTCCTCGGACAACCCGGACAACCAATGCTGATTATGACGACAAGGCGACCTATCCCGGACCACCGCTTGGACATTCCAGCGGGGATCTGGACAACCCCTCCGGACAACCCCCTATTGGGCAAGCCTGCCCCGGATTTTTCTCCCATGAGATATACTAGGCTCGCTGGGCCAAATTGACGGGTAAGGCGCACCCTGCTTACCCCGTGAGGAGAGCCACAGCACATTGAGCCACTGACGCCTCCTCTGTGCGCGTGGAGCGCGTGATACTCGCCATCGCTCGGACGTCCATTCCCCATGCATTTTCCGATCTCGTGCGTGTGTCTTCTCGCAAGATCAGCCAAGATGCTCCTCGATGGGCCTCGCCAAAAAAATTGCACACCTCCGAGCGATGCCGAGGATATAGTGATATAGTTACACAAGCAAGGCCATCGCTCACTGCAGCTCGGTTGGCACGTCGACCTTCGGCGTGGTCCCTGTCTTGACCAACGCCAATATGCGCTCGCCGGGTGTCATCGCATTCCAAGCTGCATCCGTCAGCTCGCCGAGGATTTCCGCCTGGCAGCACGGAGGAGCGGAGAGAGAACGTCGGACCAAAGCAGGCTCAATCCCTTCGCTCTTCCAGCGGGCGTGGCATGCCGGGTCGCATAGAATTAGTGTAATCGTGGACCTCCCCCCGTGCGACGGGAACGACTCTGAAAATTCTAAACAACTAGCCCAGACCGAACCTTGTTCTCAATTCAGAGAACACACATTCTCGCGTAGGACGTCTCTCCGCTGGACCCCCAGCAGCCCTCGAAAATGGCGACGATTTCGCAGTTCGCAGTCCGCCAGCAACGACAAGGCATGAGGCAAACTACCAGGCAGGTCGGAGTTTTGAACGTGGGGACTGCTTCGCAGTTCGCAGTTCCCCCAACAGCGGAGAGGTCCCTCTCTGATCTGCGTAGGGCACCTCCCCGCAGGACGCCCCCAGCAGTTTTCGAGAATGGTGACTATTTCGTAAGTCGCAGCCCCCCAGCGGCCGCGAAGTCTCGCTCTGATCTGCGTCCGACTCCACTCTGCCCATCCAGCAGCCCCCGAAAGTGGGGACGGTGTCGCAGTTCGCAGCCCCCCTTTTTAGTGTCGGCGAGGTCCCGCTCGGGTCGTCGTAGGACGCCATTTTGCAGGACGCCCCCTCCAGCCCTCGAAAACAGCGACAGTTTTGCAGTTCGCAGTCCGCCAACAACGGAGAGGCGGGATGCAAGCTAGCAGGCAGGTAACAAGGGAGAGGAGGAGGGAGGCGGGAGGACGGAGGAAGGAACTGTGCGATCGCAGGGCTCTGCTCAAAACGAGAACCCAACAAGGGAAGGTTGGAACAAACATCGGCATCGCGGAACATCACAACCAGAGCGGTCGCCCTCATCCTTCAACGCCATCTTACTATCCGGAGCAGTCTGCGAGGGGCCCGGAAACCCGAAACTGAGCTAAAACGCCCGTTGTGAAAAATTGCAACGCCAACGTCTCAGGTCACTAACGGCGAACCTATCCACATCCGCGCCCCCGCACTCTGGACTCTGAATCGCGGCTCCGCTGATACGCGTTCGCGCGGATACGTTCGACGCGGGTCATTCGACAACAAAACACCAAATGTCCGCGGGGTCGCGGCCCAGGGGCCCGACCCGCGATGCAGCGGATGCGGACATGTGCTGTAACGCGATGTGGGACCTTCTTTAAAACAAGAGCGCACCGT